TTAAAATGAACCAACACTGGCTTGGGGGCTTTCGTAGCCAGCAAAGCCAGCTTAAAATGAACCAACACTGGCTTGGGGGCTTCGTAGTCAGCAAAGCCAGCTTAAAATGAACCAACAGTGGCTTGGGGGGCTTCGTAGCCAACAAAGCCAGCTTAAAATGAACCAACACTGGCTTGGGGGCTTCGTAGTCAGCAAAGCCAGCTTAAAATGAACCAACACTGGCTTGGGGGGCTTTCGTAGCCAGCAAAGTCAGCTTAAAATGAACCATCACTGGCTTGGGGGGCTTTCGTAGCCAACAAAGCCAGCTTAAAATGAACCAACACTGGCTTGGGGGCTTCGTAGTCAGCAAAGCCAGCTTAAAATGAACCAACAGTGGCTTGTGGGGCTTCGTAGTCAGCAAAGTCAGCTTAAAATGAACCAACACTGGCTTGGGGCTTCGTATCACAAAGCAGCTTAAAATGAACCAACACTGGCTTGGGGGCTTCGTAGTCAGCAAAGCCAGCTTAAAATGAACCAACAGTGGCTTGGGGGCTTCGTAGTCAACAAAGCCAGCTTAAAATGAACCAACACTGGCTTGGGGGCTTCGTATTCAACAAAGCCAGCTTAAAATGAACCAACACTGGCTTGGGGGCTTCGTAGTCAACAAAGCCAGCTAAAATGAACCAACACTGGATTGTGGTGCTACCGTCGACAAAGAGCTTTAAAATGAACCAACACTGGCTTGGGGGGGCTTTCCTCGTAGCATAATCAGCTAAATTCCTCACTGCTGGGGCTTTCGTGCCTCAGCAGTTTACCTCACTGGCTTGAGTGGGTCGTATTACAACCCTATGTAAGAAACTATCTTGGGGTTTATTCACACCGTTAAAGAAACTTTTTGGGGTCGTATTCACACCTCTGTAAACTTAATCGCAATCACTCTTTGGCGGGGCTTCCGTAGTAGCAAGCCATTAAATGAACAGTGGCTTGGGCTTCGTAGCAACTAATGCCAGTTTGACCGCTGGTTCGGGTTCGTATTCAACCCGCTTAAGTACAAGCTGTTTGCTTCGTAGTCATATCAGCTTTCCACCGATTGTTTATTATTATTTCGGTGGTAGCTTACCCGTTTAGTAGAGCTTTAAAGATTACGTGTGATAATTTTCATTGTTCGCCCTTGTAGCTTTATCGGCGATATTTTCGCCCTCTGTAGAGCTTTTTCGGGTCGTATTTCACTCTCCGTTGAGCTTTTTCGGGTCGTATTTCACCCTCTGTAGAGCTTTTTCGGGTCGTATTTCACTCTCCGTTGAGCTTTTTCGGGTCGTATTTCACCCTCTGTAGAGCTTTTTCGGGTCGTATTTCACTCTCCGTTGAGCTTTTTCGGGTCGTATTTCACTCTCTGTAGAGCTTTTTCGGGTCGTATTTCACTCTCCGTTGAGCTTTTTCGGGTCGTATTTCACCTCTGTAGAGCTTTTTCGGGTCGTATTTCACTCTCTGTGAGCTTTTCGGTCGTATTTCACCCTCTGTAGAGCTTTTTCGGGTCGTATTTCACTCTCCGTTGAGCTTTTTCGGGTCGTATTTCACCCTCTGTAGAGCTTTTTCGGGTCGTATTTCACTCTCCGTTGAGCTTTTTCGGGTCGTATTTCACTCTCTGTAGAGCTTTTTCGGGTCGTATTTCACTCTCCGTTGAGCTTTTTCGGGTCGTATTTCACCCTCTGTAGAGCTTTTTCGGGTCGTATTTCACTCTCTGTAGAGCTTTTTCGCGTCGTATTTCGCCCTCTGTAGAGCTTTTTCGGGTCGTATTTCACCCTCTGTAGAGCTTTTCGCGTCGTATTTCACTCTCTGTAGAGCTTTCTCGGGTCGTATTTCACCCTCTGTAGAGCTTTTTCGGGTCGCATTTCACCCTCTGTAGAGCTTTTTCGGGTCGCATTTCACTCTCTGTAGATCTTTTTCGGGTCGTATTTCACTCTCTGTAGAGCTTTTTCGGGTCGTATTTCACCCTCTGTAGAGCTTTTTCGCGTCGTATTTCGCCCTCTGTAGAGCTTTTTCGGGTCGTATTTCACCCTCTGTAGAGCTTTTTCGGGTCGTATTTCACCCTCTGTAGAGCTTTTTCGGGTCGTATTTCACCCTCTGTAGAGCTTTTTCGGGTCGTATTTCACCCTCTGTAGAGCTTTTTCGAGTCGTATTTCACCCTCTGTAGAGCTTTTTCGGGTCGCATTTCACCCTCTGTAGAGCTTTTTCGGGTCGCATTTCACCCTCTGTAGAGCTTTTTCGGGTCGTATTTCACTCTCTGTAGAGCTTTTTCGGGTCGTATTTCACCCTCTGTAGAGCTTTTTCGGGTCGTATTTCACTCTCTGTAGAGCTTTTTCGGGTCGTATTTCACCCTCTGTAGAGCTTTTTCGGGTCGCATTTCACTCTCTGTAGAGTTTTTCGGGTGTCTGTAATTTTCATTCACCCTCTGTAGAGCTTTTTTGGGTCGTTTTTCACTCTCTGTAGAGCTTTTTCGGGTCGTATTTCACTCTGTAGAGCTTTTTCGGGTCGTATTTCACTCTCTGTAGAGCTTTTTCGGGTCGTATTTCACTCCCTGTAGAGCTTTTTCGGGTCGTATTTCACCCTCTGTAGAGATTTTTCGCGTCGTATTTCGCCCTCTGTAGAGCTTTTTTCGGGTCGTATTTTCACCTCTGTAGAGCTTTTTCGGGTCGTATTTCACCCTCTGTAGAGCTTTTTCGGGTCGTATTTCACTCTCTGTAGAGCTTTTTCTGTCGTTTCACTCGTCTGGATTTCGGCATTTCACTCTCTGTAGAGCTTTTTCGGGTCGCATTTCACTCTCTGTAGAGCTTTTTCGGGTCGTATTTCACTCTCTGTAGAGCTTTCCGAGGTCGTATTTCACCCTCTGTAGAGCTTTTTTGGGTCGTTTTTCACTCTCTGTAGAGCTTTTTCGGGTCGTATTTCACTCTGTAGAGCTTTTTCGGGTCGTATTTCACTCTCTGTAGAGCTTTTTCTGGTCGTATTTCACTCTCTGTAGATCTTTTTCGGGTCGTATTTCACTCTCTGTAGAGCTTTTTCGGGTCGTATTTCACTCTCCGTAGAGCTTTTTCTGGTCATATTTCACTTTTCTATAGCTAGAGCTTCACCAAGGTCATGTTTCACTCTGTGCAAATCTTCATCGATCTATGTTTCACTCTGTGTAGAGCTTTATCGAGTCATATTTCACTCTGTCTAGTGCTTTATCAAGTTATGTTCCACTCTCTGTGGAGCTTTATCAAGTTATGTTCCACTCTCTGTGGAGCTTTATCAAGTTATGTTTCACTCCGTGTGGAGCTTTATCAAGTTATGTTTCACTCCGTATGGAGCTTTATCAAGTTATGTTTCACTCCGTGTGGAGCTTTATCAAGTTATGTTTCGCTCCGTGTGGAGCTTTATCAAGTTATGTTTCACTCCGTGTGGAGCTTTATTAAGTTATGTTTCACTCCGTGTGGAGCTTTATCAAGTTATGTTTCACTCCGTGTGGAGCTTTATGAAGTTATGTTTCGCTCCGTGTGGAGCTTTATCAAGTTATGTTTCACTCCGTGTGGAGCTTTATCAAGTTATGTTTCACTCCGTGTGGAGCTTTATCAAGTTATGTTTCACTCCGTGTGGAGCTTTATCAAGTTATGTTTCGCTCCGTGTGGAGCTTTATCAAGTTATGTTTCACTCCGTGTGGAGCTTTATTAAGTTATGTTTCACTCCGTGTGGAGCTTTATCAAGTTATGTTTCACTCCGTGTGGAGCTTTATCAAGTTATGTTTCACTCCGTATGGAGCTTTATCAAGTTATGTTTCACTCCGTGTGGAGCTTTATTAAGTTATGTTTCACTCCGTGTGGAGCTTTATCAAGTTATATTCCACTCTCTGTGGAGCTTTATCAAGTTATGTTTCACTCCGTGTGGAGCTTTATCAAGTTGTTTCGCTCCGTGTGGAGCTTTATCAAGTTATGTTTAACTCCGTGTGGAGCTTTATCAAGTTATGTTTCGCTCCGTGTGGAGCTTTATCAAGTTATGTTTCACTCCGTGTGGAGCTTTATCAAGTTAGGTTTTACCCATTATAGAACTTTACCAATATATGTTCCGCTATGTAGAGCTTTGTCAAGTCACGACTTGATTAAGCTTTACTGAGGGCGAAACTTGCCGCAAGTAAAGTTCTGTACACTAATTGAAACCGAGAAGCACTGGAGGCTCGTTCCTCCGTCTAGTTACACTCAAGTTCTCGCTGCTATGTTCAAACATAGTTCAGTATTTTTCTTACGCTATTCCCAGCGTTAATTTCCAGACGTTCACTGCCATCTTACGAGAAATTGAGGAAACAGCAGCAACACGTCTGGCAACGCGGGAGCCGAGCAATCACAACAAACGCCCAGATCTGGACGCAGCAGAACACACACATAACAGTAACGAAAATAAATATTGGAGAATTTCCGGTAGTGAGTTTAATCTCCGGTCGTGAATATAATGTCAAAAGATTAAACCTTTAATCCGCATTTGTTATATATCTCTGAAATATATAGTACACCGAGAGATGTACAGTCTAAAATATATATGTTGGTTGAGAGATAATTTATATCCCTGTTGGTGAATAGGTGACATGCAACCTTAATGACCCTCGTGTAGTCGATAGGTTTTAAACTCCTTAAGCAAACAGCTCTCGTATTATGACAAGAGCCGCAAGTTTGACCACCAGGCTACGTCGGTTTGACGTCAGACGGAGCGAGAGAGGCAACTTCGTAATAATTTTAGACCATTATACTGTGCTGGGACTGTCTTGCATTACCTTGCTCTCAGGAGCTCTTGCTGAGAGAGTCCTTCTCTCTGATTTATGTAGATGTATGATATTCGCTGGAGTTTAGCCAGGAACTTGCTAATGTGTGTGTGTGTGTGTGTGTGTGTGTGTGTGTGTGTGTGTGTGTGTGTGTGTCTGTGTGTGTGTGTGTATGTATGTATGTATGTGTGTGTGTGTGCTTTTGTTCCGTTACTGATGTCAATCTTTCTTCCAGAGAGGGTGAGTGTACGTACACTGACAACGAAGGGATGTACATGGTTGAACTTCATCAGAGGGAAGTGGTAGCGGTAGCAAGAGGAAGTGTTCACACCAATATGTGAACACATCAGCAAGGGAAAGTGAACACTCCATAAACAGTAGGCGATAACTTCCCCTAAAAAAATAGTACGAGCTGTACCAGCAGAAAGTATCACTAACTAAAGGTAGTTATGCCTACAGGAAAAAGTAAGTGATTAGCAGAAGGTGGTTATCATTACAACGGAAGTTACTGAACACGAGCAGGAAGTGAACACCAGCACGAGTTAAAAACGAGAGCCGAAAACTAACAAGAGGTGAACACGAGCAATAACTGAACACAAGATAATGAACACTATCAGAAAGACGTGATCACCCTCAGGAACTCAGACGCCAGAAGGAGAAGACGTGGGAATTGAAGGTGCTGGTAAAGGAACATCTTGGACCATCGCCAGGAGGCTTTCAACGGCGGGAGAAAACAACCAGCAAGAACCCTAGTAGTGATGACATTTATTACAGAACGGTATTAGACTCTAGGTGGTGAAATATTTCCTTTAGAACCTCCGGTAGAACACCGTTCACACGTTGTTGACATCAACAACAGAAGCACAAACGTGATGATTTTTAGTTGACGTTTATTTTGGAACAGTATTAAATCCTAGGAAGTAGGATATTTATGCTAGAATCGCCATCAAAACTCCGTTCATCCATTGTTGTTATCAGCAACAGAATGATTTTCAGCTGACTTGAAAAGGAGTCGAGAAACGACAGCACAACCCCAATAGTTTGGCAGCTCCTGACATATCAGAATCCCTCGACAAAAACAAGAAAAATATGAATAGCGGATCATAAGAAACACAGGAACTCGGATAATCGGCGAAGATAGGAAAAAAAAAACTGAAAGTTTGCCAGTTTCGGAAGGAAAGAGGAGGAAAAAATTAGCCGAAGCAGCGGATACTTGAAAACAGCAGGATTTACCGTGGAAGAATTTAGTCTGTCACGAATACAAGTACGAGATACTGAGACCCCGTCACTCCTTACGCTGAATGACTCTCACAAGTTTAATAGATCTCTCACTGGCTGTTTGTATAATGAAACACCGTCAGTGAAAAGACCCGAATATTGATATATCTGAGAAACTCTGAGGTTGGTGAGTGAGGATCTTATACCATGAAATATTTCTTCCAAGAATCCACAACACGGGCAGTTAGTTGTGTTTGTCACAGCAGCGGCTTATTGGATAGCAGCCAGGAGCAGTAGCAGAGAACAGCCAGAAGTAGTAGCAGGGTCGTTTGTATTATTGGAGAGTAGCCAGGAGCAGGAGGAAAGACCAGTCTGGAGCAGTAACAGCCTGGAGCAGTAGCAAGGATGAGCCGCTACGCAGCGCTGCCGGAACCAGAGGTGGGATTGTGGCTTCGTGTTTACATCTACGGCCTCCATGGCTTCCTTTTGGAGATTCTCTTCACCGCCGCCTGGGACTTCGTTGTCAACAGAGACTGGGCTCTTATTGGTTAGTGCAGACTACATTCTTTATCGTTTTGTACATGAATGGTATATGATACCGACAGGAATTAGACATATGTGCAACATCTGGGTATCTTTATTTGTGAAATTAAGATACATGTGCAACATCTGGGTATCTTTATTGTAGACGTTTCGCCATCCAGTGGCTTTATCAATACAGATTCTAGGACATAACTTGAAGACAGTAGTTCTACTGTCTTTAAGTTATGTACTAGAATTTGTATTGATAAAGCCAATGGAGGGCGAAACGTCTACAAATAAAGTTACCCAGATGTTGCATATGTGTCCAATTCTTCACTTTGTCTTTTTTTTACAGCCTATAAGTATTCAACTCTTAATTATTATTTTTAAATATAAGCGACAATTATATTCTCATCGACAATTATTTAAGTAAGATTTTGTTTCTCACTCTTATTGGTCAGTGCTTAGTTTCTTTTCGTTTTTTCTTTCTCACTGGTCAGTGTTCGGAGTATTTTTCTTATCTTTTCATTTCATTTTCGTAATTTTGGTAGAGATTAACTATTTGTGATATTAATGGGAAATAATATCGACAGGGTGATAAAAAACGTATGCAATATTTAAGTATCATTATTACAAGTATTATGTGGGATATTACAAATATTATGTCAGATATTGCAAGAATTATGTCAGATATTACAAGAATTATGTCAGATATTACAAGAATTATGTCAGATATTACAAGAATTATGTCAGATATTACAAGAATTATGTCAGATATTACAAGAATTATGTCAGATATTACAAGAATTATGTCAGATATTACAAGAATTATGTCAGATATTACAAGAATTATGTCAGATATTACAGAAATTATGTCAGATATTACAAGAATTATGTCAGATATTACAAGAATTAAGTCAGATATTACAAGAATTCTGTCAGATATTACAAGTATTGCTGATATTTCGTACGTTGTCGTCTATGAAATATACTTAATCTGCCTCTTAGGTTTTCCTTTACCTGGAGACCTGGAGAGGTTTCCGGGGGTCAACGCCCCCGCGGCCCGGTCTGAGACCAGGCCAATATTTTTCCATATTTCCGTTATTAGCTTCCATTACGAATCTTTCCGTGAACGAATGCTGTCAGCAGTAGTTCCTGACGTTTCCTGTGGCGCCATCTATGAAAGATATCTTTTGGCCAATCGTAATTACCTGTCATGTTCCTCCTAGACCATATTTTTCATTCCAGTTGCCTTTCATCGTGAATATTCGTGAGCATTTATGTAAACAGAGGCCATTTATTCAGCTTAAACAGAACTCAGAGGCTTTAGTTAGTCAATATTTATTTAGCTTATGGGGATAAATGTCTCAAAAGGCAACTAACGGTGAAAAAGATACAACTAATTATGCCTCTTATTCTTTTAGTAGCGAGAAAAGACAGTTACAGAGAGTAACACAGTAGTTGTGTGTGTTTGTGTGATATATATATTATATATTATGTATATATATATATATATATATATATAATATATATATATATATATATATATAATATATATATATATATATATATATATATATAATATATATAACAACACTGCGACTAACCGAGAATTCGAGCCCATGTTGTGTTAGCCCGCCTTATGTTGAGCGAAAATTCACGACACTCTAACCCACGGACCCATACAATCCTACAAGAATCATGCACCCAGCAGAGCTAGGTGTTGCACCGTGATCCGACGACATTCGATGGTGTGGGTTCTTCAGAGCTAATTTCATCCTCTTCCCCGTCGTGCCGAATACACAAATTTTCTCTTGCCTCATTCAGCAAGAAGATCATTGCTATTTAAACCAAAATCGCAAGTTTTACCTATTCGTCAAGACATATATATATATTTAAGGCGAGATTTGAAATAAAACTACCTTACCATTTGCGTTTAAACTTTATTTGGATGATAATTACCACCATCAGAACATGAGTGCAGAAGCAAAAATTAAACTCATCTTAGTTTTATTTGCAAATTTCATTATAGGTATCAGTACAACATCAATTAGTTGAAAATTAAAAACAAACTCTCATGGTTGAATAATTTTCAGAATTAAAGAAAGAAATAGAGAAAACTAGAAATTGCTTATTTTCTATATAATTAATATATCGAAACTATAAATAACTCGTATCTTGATGAGCAAAACATCGACTATGTTTTTATTGTTTAAAATCATTAAATCAATGTTACAATATCGACGAGTTGATAAATAGGACACATGTGCAACACCTAGGTGTCTTTATTGATGAATAGGACACATGTGCAACACCTAGGTGTCTTTATTGATGAATAGGACACATGTGCAACACCTAGGTGTCTTTATTGATGAATAGGACACATGTGCAACACCTAGGTGTCTTTATTGATGAATAGGACACATGTGCAACACCTAGGTGTCTTTATTGATGAATAGGACACATGTGCAACTCCTAGGTGTCTTTATTGATGAATAGGACACATGTGCAACACCTAGGTGTCTTTATTGATGAATAGGACACATGTGCAACACCTAGGTGTCTTTATTGATGAATAGGACACATGTGCAACACCTAGATGTCTTTATTGATGAATAGGGCACATGTGCAACTCCTAGGTGTCTTTATTGACGAATAGGACACATGTGCAACGCCTAGGTATCTTTAGTGATGAATAGGACACATGTGCAACACCTAGGTGTCTTTATTGATGAATAGGACACATGTGCAACACCTAGGTGTCTTTATTGATGAATAGGACACATGTGCAACACCTAGGTGTCTTTATTGATGAACAGGACACATGTGCAACTCCTAGGTGTCTTTATTGATGAATAGGACACATGTGCAACACCTAGGTGTCTTTATTGATGAATAGAACACATGTGCAATACCTAGGTGTATTGACGAATAGGACACATGTGCAACGCCTAGGTGTCTTTATTGATGAATAGGACACATGTGCAACACCTAGGTGTCTTTATTGATGAATAGAACACATGTGCAATACCTAGGTGTATTGACGAATAGGAACACATGTGCAACGCCTAGGTGTCTTTATTGATGAATAGGACACATGTGCAACACCTAGGTGTCTTTATTGATGAATAGGACACATGTGCAACACCTAGGTGTCTTTATTGATGAATAGGACACATGTGCAACACCTAGGTGTCTTTATTGATGAATAGGACACATGTAAGAACATAAGAACATAAGAACGAAGGAACACTGCAGAAGGCCTACTGGCCCATGCGAGGCAGGTCCAAGTCTCCTACCGGCTTAAGCCAATGCACCCAACCTAGTCAGGTCAGGTCACATTGACTTAAGGGAGGAACACGGCAACCGACCTGTTAGCACAAGCTATCAGGTCTAACTCACACCCACCCACATCTACTCATGTATTTATCCAACCTATTTTTAAAGCTACACAACGTTCTGGCCTCTATAACGGTACTTGGGAGTTTGTTCCACTCATCCACAACTCTATTACCAAACCAGTACTTTCCTATATCCTTCCTGAATCTGAATTTTTCCAACTTAAAACCATTGCTGCGAGTCCTGTCTAGGCTAGATATTTTCAGCACACTATTTACATCCCCTTTATTTATTCCTGTCTTCCATTTATACACCTCAATCATATCCCCCCTAATTCTACGTCTTTCTAGAGAGTGCAGTTTCAGGGCCCTTAGTCTATCCTCATAGGGAAGGTTTCTGATACATGGGATCATCTTTGTCATCCTCCTTTGTACATTTTCCAGAGAATTTATATCCATTCTGTAATACGGTGACCAAAACTGTGCAGCATAATCTAAATGAGGCCTAACCAAGGATGTATAGAGTTGAAGAACAACCTGAGGACTCCTATTATTTATGCTTCTTGATATGAAGCCAAGGATTCTATTAGCTTTATTGCGAACACTTATGCACTGTTGTCTTGGTTTCAGATTACTGCTAACCAGAACTCCTAAATCTTTTTCGCAATCCGTAATATTAAGATCTACATTATTTAGTTTATATGTGGCATGGTTATTGTCCTGTCCAACATTTAGAACTTTGCATTTGTCTATATTAAACTGCATCTGCCACTTCTCCGACCACTGCATCAGTCTATTCAAATCTTCCTGGAGTGCTCGAATGTCCTCGTCAGAATGAATTCGACGGCCTATTTTGGTGTCATCGGCAAACTTGCCGATGTCGCTCTTTATGCCCTCATCTATGTCGTTTATGTAGATTGTGAACAGCAGGGGCCCAACACTGACCCCTGTGGAACACCGCTCGTGACGCTTCCCCACTCTGATTTCTCCCCATTTATGCAAACTCTCTGCTGCCTATTTGTCAACCATGCCTCTATCCAGGAAAAAATTTCTCCTCCTATTCCATGTGCTTTAATTTTCCTCAATAGTCTCTGATGTGGGACCCTGTCAAAAGCCTTACTGAAGTCCATATACACAATATCATATTCATTACCATGATCTACCTCCTCAAATACCTTAGTGAAAAAAGTTAATAAATTCGTAAGGCAGGAACGCCCCTTTGTAAAACCATGCTGAGATTCGTTGATTAATTTATGCTTTTCAAGATGGCTACGAACTGCCTCGGCAATTATTGATTCCATAAATTTTCCCACTATGGAGGTTAGGCTTATTGGTCTATAGTTCGAAGCTAAGGACCTGTCACCTGTTTTGAAAATAGGTATCACATTTGCCATTTTCCACTTATCTGGCACCATGCCAGTTTGTAGTGATATGTTGAAAAGATTAGCCAAAGGTGTGCTAAGCTCCTCTTTACATTCCTTTAGAACCCTTGCATACAGTTCATCAGGGCCTGGGGATTTGTTAGGTTTTAATTTATCTATTTGCCTAAGGACCATGTCACTTGTGACCCTAATAGTGCACAGTTTATTATCGTCCTGTTCTACATAATTTATCATTACTGGAATATCGCTGGTATCCTCCTGTGTAAAAACTGAGAGGAAGTATGTGTTAAAAATTCTACACATTTCCTTATCACTGTCAGTGAGCTGACCCGAGGAACTTTTGAGTGGGCCTATCTTGTCCCTGATCTTACTTCTGTATACCTGAAAGAATCCTTTTGGGTTAGTCTTCGATTCTTTGCAACACCTAGGTATCTTTATTGATGAACAGGACACATGTGCAACTCCTAGGTGTCTTTATTGATGAATAGGACACATGTGCAACACCTAGGTGTCTTTATTGATGAATAGGACACATGTGCAGCACCTAGGTGTCTTTATTGATGAATAGGACACATGTGCAACACCTAGGTGTCTTTATTGATGAATAGGACACATGTGCAACACCTAGGTGTCTTTATTGATGAATAGGACACATGTGCAACACCTAGGTGTCTTTATTGATGAACAGGACACATGTGCAACTCCTAGGTGTCTTTATTGATGAATAGGACACATGTGCAACACCTAGGTGTCTTTATTGATGAATAGGACACATGTGCAGCACCTAGGTGTCTTTATTGATGAATAGGACACATGTGCAACACCTAGGTGTCTTTATTGATGAATAAGACACATGTGCAACACCTAGGTGTCTTTATTGATGAATAGGACACATGTGCAACACCTAGGTGTCTTTATTGATGAATAGGACACATGTGCAGCACCTAGGTGTCTTTATTGATGAATAGGACACATGTGCAACACCTAGGTATCTTTATTGATGAATAGGACACATGTGCAACACCTAGGTGTCTTTATTGATGAATAGGACACATGTACAACACCTAGGTGTCTTTATTGATGAATAGGACACATGTGCAACACCTAGGTATCTTTACTGATGAATAGGACACATGTGCAACACCTAGGTATCTTTATTGATGAATAGGACACATGTGCAACACCTAGGTGTCTTTATTGATGAATAGGACACATGTGCAACACCTAGGTGTCTTTATTGATGAATAGGACACATGTGCAACACTAGGTGTCTTTATTGATGAATAGGACACATGGCAACACCTAGGTGTCTTTATTGATGAATAGGACGCATGTGCAACACCTAGTGTCTTTATATGATGAATAGGAACAATGTGCAACACCTAGGTGTCTTATTGATGAATAGGACACATGTGCAACACCTAGGTGTCTTTATTGATGAATAGGACACATGTGCAACACCTAGGTGTCTTTATTGATGAATAGGACACATGTGCAACACCTAGGTGTCTATATTATGAGGATTCACTTGTACAAGGTTTATCAGTCAGCTCATGAGAAGTTTGACTGCACAACAAGCTTTACCAATCAATTTATTAGACTGATAAACGTTTCGCTCTCACAGCGGGCGAAACGTTTTCCTACAGATTTACCCAGCTGCTGTATAAGTATCTTAATCATCAACTCTAAATATCTAATGTAATTAATATTTTGGATAAGATAGAAGTTTATTGGAAATATTTTGGATAAGATAGAAGTTTATTGGAAATATTTTGGATAAGATAGAAGTTTATTGGAAATATTTTGGATAAGATAGAAGTTTATTGGAAATATTTTGGATAAGATAGAAGTTTATTGGAAATATTTTGGATAAGATAGAAGTTTATTGGAAATATTTTGGATAAGATAGAAGTTTATTGGAAATATTTTGGATAAGATAGAAGTTTATTGGAAATATTTTGGATAAGATAGAAGTTTATTGGAAATATTTTGGATAAGATAGAAGTTTATTGGAAATATTTTGGATAAGATAGAAGTTCATTGGAAATATTTTGGATAAGATAGAAGTTTATTGGAAATATTTTGGATAAGATAGAAGTTTATTGGAAATATTTGGATAAGATAGAAGTTTATTGGAAATATTTTGGATAAGATAGAAGTTTATTGGAAATATTTTGGATAAGATAGAAGTTTATTGGAAATATTTTGGATAAGATAGAAGTTTATTGGAAATATTTTGGATAAGATAGAAGTTTATTGGAAATATTTTGGATAAGATAGAAGTTTATTGGAAATATTTTGGATAAGATAGAAGTTTATTGGAAATATTTTGGATAAGATAGAAGTTTATTGGAAATATTTTGGATAAGATAGAAGTTTATTGAAATATTTTGGATAAGATAGAAGTTTATTGGAAATATTTTGGATAAGATAGAAGTTTATTGGAAATATTTTGGATAAGATAGAAGTTTATTGGAAATATTTTGGATAAGATAGAAGTTTATTGGAAATATTTTGGATAAGATAGAAGTTTATTGGAAATATTTTGGATAAGATAGAAGTTTATTGGAAATATTTTGGATAAGATAGAAGTTTATTGGAAATATTTTGGATAAGATAGAAGTTTATTGGAAATATTTTGGATAAGATAGAAGTTTATTGGAAATATTTTGGATAAGATAGAGAGTTTATTGGAAAATATTTTGGATAAGATAGAAGTTTATTGGAAATATTTTGGATAAGATAAGAAGTTTATTGGAAATATTTTGGATAAGATAGAAGTTTATTGGAAATATTTTGGATAAGATAGAAGTTTATTGGAAATATTTTGGATAAGATAGAAGTTTATTGGAAATATTTTGGATAAGATAGAAGTTTATTGGAAATATTTTGGATAAGATAGAAGTTTATTGGAAATATTTTGGATAAGATAGAAGTTTATTGGAAATATTTTTCATCTATCTGCATATTTTCTTATCCAAAAATAAGGAGATTTTAAAAGGGGGTTAGATTTTTAAGGAAAAATTCTTTGTGTGTGTATATATATATATATATATATATATATATATATATATATATATATATATATATATATACTATTTTTTTCAGTTTATGTTACTGCTTCAAAATATATAAATAATCAAGTTTGCATTTGGGTGAATAGAAAAGTTGGAGGTAAACCCGACTTCAGAATGCGAGATATATCAAACCATACCACGGGTGGGGTTAGAACTCGCGGTCAGAGAGTTTTAAAACTCCAGATCAGTGGCTAACGCGATGGTCTGGAATTTTAAGACTCTCTGATCGTGGGTTCTAACCCCACCCGCGATCAGAGAGTCTTAAAACTCCAGATCAGTGGCTAACGCGATGGTCTGGAATTTTAAGACTCTCTGATCGCGGGTTCTAACCCCATCCGTGGTATGGTTTGATATATCTCGTATTCTGAAGTCGGGTTTACCTCCAACTCTTCTATTTTTCTCTGTAGTTCTTACCTATTCCCACCACCTATTCTTTATTCCCACTTCCCTTTATCCCTATTGGGTTCTTACCTGTGAGTTCCTTCGTTCGGGAGAAAAAAAAATTAATGGAATTTTATCTAACATTAAAGAGAAAACTGGTGAGTTAGTTCAATTGAAATTTTATTTTTTTTTTCAAAATTTTTGGTTCAAAAATTTTTTTCAAAATTTTTGGTTCAAAATTTTTAGTTCAATTGAAATTTTATTTTTTTTTTCAAAATTTTTGGTTTTTAGAGCATAGGTAAAAGCAAAATATAATTTACCTTTTTTTTTTTGGAAAATAATTAAATACTCGAAATAATAAAATCAGAGTATAGGTCAAAATTTTAATAGAGAAATCTAAATGCCAAATTTATTTATCTTAATTATTAAAAATTATCTTCAAATTTATAGATCTAACATTACCATAATACAGGGGACACAAAATTTTGATCACACTCTTTAACCACTGAAACCACGAAAGTAATAACGAAAACTTGCTTTCGTTTCTTTAAAATTCACATTAAATAGATATAATCAAACTCCAGCTCATGGGACTGCTTAAGATCTAACAAGAGTGACTTTAAGAACAACCTGAGAACAAGAGACAGTAAGGTGTGCAGAGTTTATCACAGTCAACCACAAAGTGCTTTAGTTCTTTCGTGTGACAGCCAGCACATCATCAGACGCATAGGATGATGCTGGGGTATACCATATAAAACCACTTAAACATTCCAATTTATCTGTGGTTATATATATATATATATATATATATATATATATATATATATATATATATATATATATATATATATATAAGATAACCACTGAAAATAGTGAAATTCGGGAGTATTCGTGATTTCTCACATTATCAAGGAACTAATAATGTGAGAAATCACGAAAGCTCTTGGAGTTTCACAATTTTTCACAGTGGTTGTCCTGCATATTACGATATCACTTATTTACTGTCTCATTGCTTATGTGTATATATATATATATATATATATATATATATAATATATATATATATATATATATATATATATATATTATGCAAAACAACCACTCTGAAAGAATAGAGAAATTCCAAGCGCTTTCGTGACTACTCACATTATCAAGGACGTTCCTTGATAATGTGAGTAGTCACGAATGCGCTTGGAATTTCTCTGTTCTTTCAGAGTGGTTGTTTTGCATATTCTGAAATCACTTGTTTACTGTGATCTTATTGCATATATATATATATATATATATATATATATATATATATATATATATATATATATATATATATATATATATATATATATAACAATTAATTGATTTGAACTCACAATTACGATGGCTGGAGTCTAGATTATAGGTAAAATGAAGATGGTAGATAGTCATAGTTTAGAAGGCAGCGGTCCTTCTAGGTCTGGAGATTATAAATGGGTTCCACACAGAATCCAGACGTTTCCAGTTCTCAAACTAGATATTGTTAAAAATCAAAACTCTAGCTGGTGAAGAAGACGATTCCAGTGACTAAGTTGAAGACATTAATGACAAACTTTCCTGGCGTAAATCTGGAATTCTGGAATTAAGGTGTAAAACTTTTGTATTCGACGGGTGGAAATTTAGCTAAATTGGAGTTCAGGTGGGTGTTTCAGTGTTCAGATGTGCGTTTTAGCGTAGGTGGGTGCAGTTCCTTCCACAGTGGCAGGCACCTCTCAACCTGGAAAGCAAATACGACATGAGAGGTGTTGTCATCACGGCGACACCACAAGATACATCGTTGGGAGCAAACAAGAAAGTTAATGGAAGGTAATCTAGCTTGATCCATAAAAGAACAGCTCCAGTTCAATGAATCTAGAGCTCTTCACCAGAGTCCAGGTAACTAAATGTTTTATTCGCTCGTACGTCAACAAGATTAGTTGTAACATGATAATGATCCAGAATGGACCGAAACGTCACTCATAAGGTTCCTTTCTAAAGTGGTTGGCGAAACGTTTTCAGATGCAACTCGTGTGTCTAATTACTTACGTTATGTCTTAACTAATTAATACATGTGACAGACTGACAGACTAAATTGGTGAACTGCATCTTCCAGGACTGTAAGACAGCCTTTAATACTGTGTTACATATCGCCTGTACAGCAACCTTCAACAGTCGAATACAGAGGCGAATACATTGTTGGAGACAACAGAAGTGGAGACGTAATTTCAGGGTAAACAGATGCCCAGACGTTGCACATGTACCTTACTCGGGGCAGGATTAACGCATGGGCTTTAGGGGATGCAGCCCAGGGACCTCCGCCAGCTGGAGAGTCTCCAGAGATTAAGTGAAAGTGTTCACAGTTACTTCTGTAAGCTTATAATTACATTATGTTATTACATTATGATAAACTGTTGGCTGTTGTGATTATTTGTTTTTTTCCTTTTGAAAATATCACTGGGGACCTCACAGTACCTGTAGCCCAGAGGCCTCACTGTACCTGTAGCCCAGAGGCCTCACTGTACCTGTAGCCCAGAGGCCTCACTGTACCTGTAGCCCAGAGGCCTCACTGTACCTGTAGCCCAGGGGCCTCACAGTACCTGTAGCCCAGAGGCCTCACTGTACCTGTAGCCCAGGGGACTCACAGTACCTGTAGCCCAGAGGCCTCACGGTACCTGTAGCCCAGAGGCCTCACTGTACCTGTAGCCCAGGGGACTCACAGTACCTGTAGCCCAGAGGCCTCACTGTACCTGTAGCCCAGAGGCCTCACTGTACCTGTAGCCCAGGGGCCTCACAGTACCTGTAGCCCAGAGGCCTCACTGTACCTGTAGCCCAGGGGACTCACAGTACCTGTAGCCCAGAGGCCTCACTGTACCTGTAGCCCAGGGGACTCACTGTACCTGTAGCCCAGGGGCCTCACAGTACCTGTAGCCCAGGGGACTCACAGTACCTGTAGCCCAGAGGCCTCACTGTACCTGTAGCCCAGGGGACTCACAGTACCTGTAGCCCAAGGGCCTACAAAATCTTAATAGGCTGTGGGTTCTTATTCACGAAATTATACGGTATTGTGTAACAGTTCTGTATCACAAACTACATGGCACTCTGGCGTAGCAAACTGAGGTAGCAAGAAGGGCACTAACATGGACTAAGGAATGCTTAAATGTTTCAAAATAAATGATTGAAGAATAGACACAAATACACTGTAATACGATCTTTTATCGGCAACGTTTCGCCCACACAGTGGGTTTTATCAAGTCACAAACAGAGCTACCTGGGCAAAGAGTACATGAATACATATGTACTCATGTACGTAAAGTACCGCATTATACTCCATTTGTCTCTATTTTTCCATCGTGTCGATATTTATACCATTTGTCTCCACAAATGGGCTCTGGTGGCCTGGTGGTTAACGCTCTCGCTTCACACGGTGAGGGCCTGGGTTCGATTCCCAGCCAGAGTAGAAACATTGGACGTGTTTCTTTCCACCTGTTGTCTATGTTCCCCATCAGTAAAATGGGTACTTGGGTGTTAGTCGACTGGTGTGGGTCGCATCCTGGGACACTGACCTAAGGAGGCCTGGTCACAGACCGGGCCGCGGGGGCGTTGACCCCCGGAACTCTCTCCAGGTAAATGATGATAGTAAAGTATAATGTATCTGTAGGAAGAGAGAAATAAGAACAATGATTTGAGAAGTGAGACAATACAACCCGACACGAACTGGAGGTTAAAACAGTGGATATAGAAAAATAATGGATTATTAGAAATATATGTTATTACAATAGAGTAATTTCAGAGAGGTAATTTACAAGGATGTAATTACAAATAAATGAAGAAGGGATTATCTGGATTTGAGTCCTAGAGGTGGGGAAATACAGTGTCTGCAGTCTAAAGGAGGTGTTTGGGATATTTGCTGTTTAGAGGAACATCTAACACGAAGTATTTAAGCGCCTCTAGCAAGACAGTGATAGTGTGAATGATGATGAAAGCGTTTCTTTTTCGGGTCACCCTGCCTCGGTGGGAGACAGCCAGCGTGTTGTAAAAGATTAGGTAATTACACATAACATACAGACGTACCTGTGTGTGTAGATTCATCAGTGATGGTTTAAAAGATGGCAACATCAGGATCCTCAGCAGGTGCTGTGGGTTTAAATTATTTAATATTAATGTCAAGATAAAGTCTGGTTTATCAGGGCTTTGATATTTATTACCTTCATGGGGAAGTGCTAATATCGAGTTCATTTAGGGTTCTATAAGGTTCTTAGTGTCAAGTTTACAGCCTGTCGACTACAAGAGCGTCGTTGAGGTTGCATGTCATCTGTTCACCACCAGACAGGTTTACTGCAATCCCTAAAATAAGGTTAAAGTAATTTATCAGTGTAAATACACTGAGTTTACTGCAATCCTTAAAATAAGGTTAAAGTAATTCCTCAGTGTAGATACACTGAGAGTTTACTGCAATCCCTAAAATAAGGTTAAAGTAATTCCTCAGTGTAGATACACTGAGAGTTTACTGCAATCCCTAAAATAAGGTTAAAGTAATTTATCAGTGTAAATACACTGAGTTTACTGCAATCCTTAAAATAAGGTTAAAGTAATTCCTCAGTGTAGATACACTGAGAGTTTACTGAAATCTCTGTATTTGTCCCCGTCTCCTATATATACTAGCTCCCTCACCCTCGTGTGTTAGTGTGGCTTGTAAATGATCCAAGTCGGACCGAAACGTCGTCATAAGCTTCTTTCTCGTATGTGCGGGTTATTTGTGTATTGTTCTAATCATAATATTGTGCCTTTTTTTGTTTTAAATCCTTAGTTTAGAGATTAAGGTGTTCTTAACTGGTGGTAAACGAGTGACATGCTGCCTTAATGACCCTCGTGTAGTCAATAGCCTTTAAACCCCATCAAACAGCCGCCCTGACGTTACATGTCACCCCCTCACTCACCTTGGTCATCGAGGCTAAGTCTGGTGATCCTGCAGACAGACCTGAAGGAACTGATCAGGACTTGTGATGCTGTGTAGTTAGGCAAAACTGCTCCCTGCATGATCGTGGCTCCTGAGGGTAAGTTTTCGTTCAGGTGTAGGTCACATGTTAGTGTTTTTTTCAGTCGTTTTAGATGGTAAATTATGAAAACAGAAGAGAAAACCGGGAATTCGAACCGGAAATAAATCACTTTGACTTTTTTGGGGGGTTATCCTAGGAAATTTACACATACGCTTTTACACTCGATTTATAGAGTAAGTTATGAAAACAGAAGAGTAAAACAGGGGACTCGAACTGGAGGAAAGTCACTTACTCAAAGTCTGGCTTTTTGGGTTATCCTTGGCAATTTAAAAATACTGTATATTAATATTTACAAACATTATCTCTCAGTTTACAGCAGGATTCAAACCTGCAAATTCGGCATCTGAGTACACAGTACTTTATCCACACAGCCAGATGGAGTTTGGCTGTGTGGACTCGATTACTAGCGCACTCAACTGAAATTCGTAGTTCGATCCCCGATAAGAATGGAAACATTAGGACGTGTCTGCTTAAGGAATCTGCTGCCCACTGTTCACCTATCAGTAAAATAGGTACTTGGGTGTTAGTCGAGTGGTCGCATCCTGGGACAAAATTGACCTAATTTGCCCGAAATGCTTATATACTCACTTAACAAAGGGAGAAGACTGAGCAGTTTTCCGTAGCCTAAGTTTCTTCAGGTATCATAACACTTAAGTACAATTAAGCAAACCATAGCACGGGTGGGGTTTGAACCCGCGATCAGAGTCTCAAAACTCCAGACCGTCGCGTTACCCACTGGGTTCAAACCTCACCCGTGGTATGGTTTGTTTACAATCATGTCATTACGATTTCGTGAGAACAATTAAGGAAATTTTAGGTGATTTCAACTGGCTTATATAGAAATATTTGCGTAAAATTACCTAGGATAAAACCTAAGAGTCGTATTAGTTTTGTCTATGACACGACCCGGCTTTAACCAGAGAGTTGAAAGGTAAC